CTACAAATTGCTGGTAGGCTCGAGCAAACCACCCCCAGGAGTCCCTTCATTTCTAAGTCTGGAAGCAGCAATCTTGCAGACTTCTGTGGTTATGAAATAGAGAAGGAAAACAGAAGAAGAAGTAATCTCTCATCTTAAAAGAGTTATGGCAGTCATCTATTTATAGTAGTGAAACTGGAAGTTACCTTCCGAAGAGACACATCCTTTCACATAAAAGGTAGTTACCTTTTCCGAAAGGACACATCTTTTCACCGAAAAAAGGGAGTTACCTTTATGGAAGGACACTTCTTTTCACAAAATTCAAACGTTAATTAATTAAATTGCCAAAAAAACTCATTCTTTATAATTTACTTCTCCCATCAATTTCGTATTACAACTCTATTGACTAACTCTAACAATCCCCCACTTAGTCAACAAGAGTTGAGAATACCTGCCTCGAACAAGTAACGCATACATAAAGGTATCTTTTCGATTTGTACCTTTACGGCTTTACCTAGTGTAAGCAACTCAAAGTTGATAACGAATCAATGACATGCTTAAGCCTAAGAGTCACGATCCAAAGCTATAACCGGAGATGCCACACACGTACTTGTTTCTTCTCTAAACCACAACCACCAACTAGGGTAGCACTATTATGGTCATGTGCTAATCCTGTTTCATGAGCATACACAAAAGTTGACCTCTACCTTTGTTAGAGCGGCACCACTCTTAATGCTCACATAGGTGACATTCCAAATGAATTCATTAAGAGTTCAATAACTCATCTCAAGAGTTCTATAACTCACCCTTCTTCGGACTAATTTACTTGTACAACAAAATTAGTACCCCAGTTAGCGTAACTTGTTATTACCACATTGAACCTTTTAATTAGTGAATACCTAAAGAAAAGGTTGGGTTTCCATTACTTCTAACAACGCAAAAGGTCTTAATCCCATCCCTTGGGATGTCTCGTAGATCATGCCTCTTGGCAATACCTTGGTAAGAAAATATGTCAAATTATTGCTTGATCTTACATACACAATATAAATGATTCTATTAGTAATCAAATACTAACGTAATCATGTCTTAGGCTAATATCTGTAGACTTACCATTGTAAATCTTGACAAAGTAGCCTCACTATCACAAAAGACAGAAATGGCTGACATCAGTTGTGGCCACAACTCGATATCTAACAACATCTTTCTTAGCCATTCTGCCTCGTTTCTCGCTGCCGCAAGGGCTAGGAATTCAACTTTCATAGTGGAGTGCAATACACATTTGTTTCTTCGAAGCCCAAGAAACATATCCACCACCTAGTGTAAAAATCTACCTGTTGTAGATTTATTATCACTAGCACTCGTTATCCAACTAGCATAAAAACATCCCCCCACAATTTTACCACTTGCCGAACTATCATGGAATAATTCCATTTTCTTTTCATGGTTTTATTTATTGAACTTTCAACCACTACATTGATCTAATTGTTTACCAATGTGTAGACTAATTGAATTAGCATACCACAAACAATTCAGATATTATTAAAAAATTATATAATTGCTTACCAATGGAATTGGTCAAGGTAACTTGATATGCCACAAGTAATTCAGTTGCATTCCCAGATTGTATAGGAAATACCATCTAATTACTTACCAATGACTTATCATCAAGGTAACTTGACATACCACAAGCAATTCAAATGAATATCCTAAGTCAAACGGTCTAATTACTTACCAATGATATACACTTCATAATATACCATAAGTAATTCAGACTTTGAGTTCAATAAGATCATCTCAATTGAGTTCTCATGCCAAATTGTTTGCCAATGGTATATGATTATATTACATATACCATAAACAATTCTGACCAATAGCTTCACATAATAATCATACGTCAAATTGTTTTCCAATGGTATAGTATACATATACCATAAACAATTCTGACCATATGTTTATCTTGATGACCACCATTATTTAGCAAGCTTATTCAATCTTAGCTTCATTTTCCTTGCCCTCATGGCATAGGAAACATCAAGCCCGAAACCACATACATGATAAATAAATATCATGCCTCCACAAGCATCGTAGAAATTATAATTTCTTATCGCTTGTGGCTTTCTCGTAATGTAAATCTTTAGCCATGCATTAACCAAATTACATCTCCACCGCATTGGAGGTATACTTTTTCATACTATGTTCGAACTTACTTTGAACATAACGTTTGCAACCATTCCGGCTTAGATAGACTTGATTCACAAGTCCCCACTAGCCTCGCGATATAGGTTTTACATACCTATGGTTGTTCATTTTTCACTTCACTGCAAGATCACATAACAAACAACTTGGTTACATAAACCAAAGTGTAGTATCTTGCAAGCACCATAATTGAAATTTAACCAAACCAAGTTGGTTGAATGATCACAAACTGGTTATCTATCATGGCATCGTTAATTAACCAGAATCGCAATCCAAAATGATCATATAGAGGAACCATAATTCCTTTCTCCTTCCTCCAACAGCAGAAACAGAAGAAATATATATGGACTCTCCAAGTCTCTATATATATCACACGGGTTAAAGACACATTTGGTCACTGAGATTACAAAATCGGGACATGTTTAGTCACTAGAAAAAGTTAATATCAAATTTGGTCACTACAATTACTAAAACTGGACGCATTTAGTCACTCGCCGTTAGTCTCCGTCCAACTCCGTTAATGAAGTCCGTTAAGTGCTGATGTGGCAAACAAAATTGCCTAATCAACATGAGATAACTCAACAAAAATAAAACCCGACCCGCCACGTCATTATAACCCGCAACGTCATTAAAACCAACCCAACCCATGACCCAACCCTACCCAACCCTTATTCCTCCTTCCTCCCACATCTGCACCTCTCACCTCCTTCCTCGTCGACAGCGTCGCCCCGCCCCGGAACCAGACCCGCCCGAACAACCGGGTCCTCCGACCCGGCAACTAGTTCCTCGCGGTTTTAATGAGGTGTCCGCCGCCCGTCGGGCCGCCCGCAGGCCCTCCTCAACGTCGGCGTCACCGTGCTCGACAGCTCGATGGGAGCATGCCGCTCTACTCCGGGCCCTCGGGCGTCGGGTACCGGGATCTGATGGGCGGGAAGAAGAAGAACAGCAAGAAGGGCGACGATGAGAGCAGCAGCAGCGATGGGGAAAGCAGCTTGTATTCCTCAATCCCTAACAAGAAGCAATTATTTCTCCCCTGGATCCCTACCCCTGAATTGAGGCGGACCAAGAGCGATTCCAGCTCAACCCTAGATCTGCCGCCCACGGGGAAGGGGAAGAACAATCAAATCGGCAGATCCAAAGCCAGATCGATGTTGAGCGGGCTGGAGAGTTACCGGAATGGCAAATTCAACAAACCCCGTCAGCCCGAATCCCGAGGCAGTCAATCGGAGGTCGCCGGTTTGATGAAGAACAACAAGCCAAATCCGATGCCCTTACCGCCGGGTGCGAGGTCCAGAGCGATCCGGCGAGCAGCAGCGGCAGCGGGAGCGGGAGCATCATGGTCAGCGGGCCGGGCGGGAGCAGCGTGGTCAGCGGCGGTGGTAACGGCAGTGTGGTGAGGCACGGTTGGGTGGGGTTGGGTCATGGGTTGGTTTTAATGAGGTGGCGGGTTATAATGACTTGGCGGGTCGGGTTTTATTTTTGTTGGGTTATATCCGGCTGATTAGGCAATTTTGTTTGCCACATCAGCACTTAACGGACTTCATTAACGGAGTTGGACGGAGACTAACGGCGAGTGACTAAATGTGTCCAGTTTTAGTAATTGTAGTGACCAAATTTGATATTAACTTTTTCTAGTGACTAAATATGTCCCGATTTTGTAATCTCAGTGACCAAATGTGTCTTTAACCCTATATCACACAACATATATATATATATATATACATAAACTAGGAAAATAATTCTTTTGCAGGGATACGTACCTCTAATCCTTTTTTTTTTCTTCTTCTTTGCTGGCGATAAAAGAACAAACATATATATATATATACAGTATATATACCAATCTAGCCAATTAGAAATAGGAAAATACTACACAATTCTTCTATATATAAAAGCTGGGTGGGTAAAACCCAAGAGCTTTTTTTACTGTTTCACTTCTTGGCATTTAGTGAATTCCATCTAGAGAGTTTTGCTCTTGCCCCTTTACCAATCCCTCACGCAAGAACACTCCAGTCTCGAGCCATGCCCTGTCAAAAGGAAAAGAGAAGAGATGACTTCCCAATATACTACTACCCTTCACCTTACCTCGTCCTTAAAATTACTATTGATCGTCCTAAAAAATAACAAAGTTACACTTTTAACCTTTTGGCATTTTTAGCATACAAACATCACTTTAACTAAAAAAAATGAAAAACACTCAATTTCCCACACTCTTGAATTCATCGTTGACATTCTCGAGTCGTAATCGTTGAGAATACGTCTGAATCATAAGTAGCGACTCCAACGAGGTAAGAATCTGATTTTTTTTCAAAAAAAATTCCAAAACCCCTCAACCGAAGCCAATTTTCGGTTGCACCATGGCTCAACCGAAGCCAATTTTCGGTTGGTCCATGGACCAACCGAAAATTGCCTTAGGTTGAGCCATGGTGCAACCGAAGGTGATTTTCGGTTGAACCATGGTGCAACCGAAGGTGATTTTCGGTTGGTCCATGGTACAACCGAAAATTGCCTTAGGTTGAGCCATGGTACAACCGAAAATTGGCTTCGATTGAGGGGTTTTGGGTTTTTTTGAATTTGTTTGGTTTATATCAATAATTTTCTATTCTTTTACTACGATTTATGATTCGGTCCATAAGATAATTTGTTGAATTTTGGTTTATATGTATTTTTAGATTTATGGAAGGGGAAGGAGTTGTTTGTTTCGTCTTTGATTTTGAAATTCAAAATGGACAATTTGGTAAATTACATATTAAGTTAGGACGATAGTTAGTAATTTTTAGGACGACCTTTAACCATTCAGTTTTTCTATCATAACTTCTCTTTCCAGACATCCAAACTTCCATTATCATATCCATACCAATCCCTTTTCTCCTTCCTCTCTCTTTCGACTCCACCCACCGAGCCAAAAATTGCAGCGGCAGCAAGAGTGAGAATCCACCATTGGCACCAAAGAGAGCACCTCAACTGGGTTCACTTTGATTTCTCTGTTGGAGTTTCCACTCCCTATAAATATGAGAGTAGTGCTTTGTTAGTATGCCCAGCCACACAGTTGAGAAGAGCAAAGCAAGTGGAGCGATGATGAGCATGAACTCTTCTTCTGCTGCCGCTAATCGGGAAGAGCTGCAGGATCAGCGCGACGCCAACATGCCGATGGCGGAGAAAATTATTGAACTGGTTCTGGTGGGATTATGTATGTTAGCTCGGGTACTACTGATGCTCAAGAACCCCCAGGCCAACAGTTTCCGCAGAGGATGACTAGGAAGAGTGTGATGTTCGTTGGGGATTCGATTTCGCGGGATCAGTTCGAATCGTTGATTTGTATGATCGTGGCATCGCTGCCTCGGAGGACGACTAAGTTGAACGGCGGAGATCCTCTCTCATCCATCAAGTTCTGGGTAAGTAAATACAGCAGTAGTATGACGGTAACAATCCTTTAATCGTTCAGTTTGAACTTGGATACTTCTTTGTACGAAATGCCTATAGAATCATTCTATCTCTGTTGTTCACTTTGTTGCAGAACAAATCCAGATGCATACTGTTGCAGCAGAGAGTTCGTGTGCCGAATTAGCTTACCGTGTCAGACACCAAAGTTGAAAAAGAGAGCAAGCAGTAAGGAATCTGCCATCTCCACATTTTCTTCAAATCATCATTATCGTAGTGGATAATGCTTTGTATGTGTATATCACTGCAATTGAATATGCAGCCAAATAGTACTGGATGAAAATAGGGAAGGAATTACTTGACTTTTGGATCTTACATTTAGGAAGTCTTCACACACCGACTAAAGTTTTTCAACTAAAACACTAAATATGTACTGCCAACTTTTGTTCATGCTGGCTTGAATGTGATTGGATGCATTTTGTTGTTTTGTTTTTCCCTTCACATATGACATAACTATAATGGGTTTCAAATCATAGGAGTGCCCTGTATTGGTTGTAGTAGTTAGATCATACTTCTGCTTAATCTTTGCAACCTCTACCATCCACTTCATGTTGTTGTACTTTCCGGAGGTTGTGTATTTTTTTAGGACCAAGGTAGAGATCAAAGAAGAGAGGTAGAGAAGGGCGATGAATCAATGATAGAGATGCAGATGTCAGAGTTACTCAAGGAGGAGGTGAGGAGGTAAATGCATGTCCTCATCTCACGTAACTCAATAATCATTCTTACGTTGAATTGAACCATTTGCTTGAACTGTAGTTTTCCCAAGGCAACTCTGTGGTTAAGTTTCTACAAGGCTGCTATAGTTTGCTTTGTGATTGTCATGTAGTTTATACTCAACTGATGGATTCTTAAGACAGTTGTTATAGTTTACTTCGTATATTTATACCAGTAGGTTATACTGCACTGGTTTCATCATGGGATTTCTTTGTTTTTGTTGGTTTGCTTATGTAGTATTTGGATTGACTTTGAAATTTTGGCTATCTATTGAATGGATGTGGTGCATATAGATGCAGGTGATGCTTGCCTTCCGATGAACCAGTACCTGGAGTAACTGTAAAGTAGCTGCCGGGGAGGAGAATTGATCGCCAGCCGGGAATCTGCAAGGCATATATGTGGTTTTTCCAAATCTCCAGGTCAGGTGTTGATCTCTGTGAATTTCCACTGTTGTCCTTTGATTTAGTAGCTCGCCTTTGGTGCTGCTGAATAGTTTCGGATTTTGTAGTTTGTGATTACTTTATTGAAAGAATCGGACTTATGATTCAAGTCTGAGTTAAAGTTGGAGATACCTTCTAATAATCTCCCGCTTATAAGTATTAAAGTCCACTTGAATGATTGAATTGATTTTCTTTGATTGGGTTGTTTATGGAGTTAGAAAACCAGTGCAATCTGGAGGAATGCCAATCACTCTATCAATTCCTATTATGTGGTACCTTCAAGCTAAAGGGAAAAAAAAGCATTTCAGTTCGAGAGTTGTTCATTTGTCACTTGGAAGTTTGTTTATAGTAGAAGTGTAAATTTGTTACCTAGAAGTTTGCTTTTTAGTAGAAGCCTGTTTCTTGATGTTTTCTAATCACTAACACTCAAATCTCACAGGTCAAGTGGGAGAACAAAATGATGCTGCTCAGTGTGGTATCCAAAAACTCTTCTAATAGCATGACATGTAGTTCGGTTAGTTAGTACGGATCAAGAGCTTCACCAGTAAGGGTCATTGAGATTTGAGAACCTATTGTTGTTGCTCATGTCAATGGCATCGATATTGTGTAACTGATAGACAAGTTGCTGAACAAGCCATTTAGTAAGCTGAACTGCTGAAGACCAGCTCTTTCTGTACGAATTGAAGATTGCTCTTTTTTTTTTTTTCTTCTAATGAAGGTTGCTCAAATAAGATAACTTGGGTATGGATTGAATAAATATATGAAATAATAAGTTTCACCTATATAAAAGGTATTACTTTGGTGTAGTTTCAATGTTTCATTGTAGATTTCGAAAGCTGAGGAAGAGTAAACATCGCTAAATCTCCCGCGGCGTAGTCGTGGGTATTGATACTAGTTCCTTTCTAATTAACCGCACAAGTATCAAATAGAATCCTAGAGATGGACCAATCAACAATTTCGAAATGCAATTCTGCTCTTTAACCCAAGCAAACTTACTATTCCAATTTTCCCTCCGAAGCATGCAACGTTTCAGACCCAACGTATGCACCATTTCGGTCTAGAAAATTCAAACTGATGCTAAAAAGATTAGATATACAGGAACCGAGTCCCTTCCAATGACGGTTAATCAACCAACAAATTGATCACCAACCAGATTGGTAAACCAATTTATCCAGGGACAGAAATATATCAATTTCATTGATATTCAAGGAACCGGAAATTCCTTTCTAGACAGTAAAAATCATATATCCATAAATTGTTCAAACAACAAACTGATGAACAATCAGGTTCACGGCATAATTTTCTTACGCAAGCCAATAAGATTTCTAACATGGAAGAAAGGACGTACCTTTCCGACGTGACGGTACCTCAAATGTCGGATACCAGCGAACACAACAAGACATCGAGAACCACACTTTTTCGAATCAGAAGCATACGCCTTCAACGTACTCTCCACTCCAGAATCCATTGTCACACGAAAATAACACTATAAGATTGTCAGGAACTGGTAGGAATGAATCGGATTGAAGGCGTGATTAATCACTCTCCTTAGAGTGTTATTTGCCCCCACTACAAATTGCTGGTAGGCTCGAGCAAACCACCCTCAGGAGTCCCTTCAATTCTAAGTCTGGAAGCAGCAATCTTGCAGACTTCTGTGGTTATGAAATAGAGAAGGAAAACGGAAGAAGAAGTAATCTCTCATCTTAAAAGAGTTATGGCATTCATCTTTTTATAGTAGTGAAACTGGTAGTTACCTTCCGAAGAGACACATCATTTCACATAAAAGGTAGTTACGTTTTCCGAAAGGATACATCCTTTCACAGAAAAAAGGGAGTTACCTTTATGGAATGACACTTCTTTTCACAAAATTCAAACGTTAATTAATTAATTAAATTGCCAAAAAGCTCCTTCTTTATAATTTACTTCTTCCATCAATTTCGTATTACAACTCTATTGACTAACTCTAACAAATGGTGGGGGGCCGCCCAAAACCAAAATGGTGGGGGATGAAAATCCTTCACGCCGCCGGTGAATCCAAGCAGGGACGCCGGCCGGAAATCAAACAGCAGCCGGCGAACTCTCTCTCTCGCTGGGAGAATTTCCTGGGCAAAAAAATACCCAGGCCGTCGGAGAAGAAAACGGATCGACGAGCTGTATATTTATTTATTTTAATTGGTAAATAAAAATTAAATAATCAAATTACTACATTGTCCTTCATTAAATTGGATTAATCAGGACCATTGGATTTTAATGAGATGCAAGGACTGAGATTCACTTAGTCACATAACTAAGGGACCACCCCTTAGTCACCTAATCTTAGCCCGCATACTTGCATGAGACCGCTAGGCTCATGCTAAAAAACAACATGGGCATCCAAACCTCCAACTCCAAGATACGTTGCAGCGTCGCACGCGGTTTTGGATGGGAGCGGATTTAGTGAGTAACTCATGGATCAGTAATCTTGCATAATTCAATAATCATTCGCCACGGCTTTCTCTCTCTTCGAAAGTTTTTAATTTTTCTCCCATTAATTTTTAACGGACGATTTCTCACTCTTTTAAGTCGGATTTTTTTTTTTTTGCACAGATAGACCTAGATTAATTGTGCTCTTCAAAATAATATCTACATTGATATATTTTTTGAATAAAAAAATTTAGCCATTTTTTACCGGTCTATACCATATGGTATTGAAATAACCATATAGTATGAAAAACGTATCATGGTGTTATGAACATACCAAGACTATAGGATGATTGAATACATGATAGTATGAGTATATTAACTGTCATTTACGACTTTCAACATTGTGTACCACAAGATACCACCCCGTACGAGGGTGGTATTTTTTGGTATTTTTTGGTGTTGTATTTTGTTCACCCGAAAATTTGTAGATCCAATAAATCATGATGAACTCGTTCTTTTTGTGCAAAAAATTTGAAAAACGACTTAAAAACAAAGAAGATATCATATAGTATGCAGTTGGTAACGAGATGCATATCATTTTGTAAGGAACAACTACTCATTCCATCTGTGAAAAAACTAATAATCCTAATCCCATTACCATTTATCATCGACAAGAAAAAAGTCCCAGACTAGCTAGCTAAGCTAAAAGTGGAGGGAATCTCCATGTGCTCCACCACCCTCTGGTTTCAACTTTAGGAGGACACTCCATATACATTCACATGTGGCATACTGCTTACTGTATCAACAGATAATCATGTACGATCGTTATCAGGCTGATTCTGTTCTGATCTGATCACTGAGCTCCATCAATGGTGTAAAAGGGAACGCATAAAAAGACAGCATGATCAGAAAGATGGGAAAGGGAATGATATGAGCAAGCTAGAAAAAGAAGAGAGAGAGAGAGAGAGAGATGGGGAGATTGCTGAAGGTGTGACTGTGATCTTCTACAGCAATTACATAACCAGCAGACCATGAGAAATTGAGAACACCACCACCACCCTCCAGTCCATTCACTCATTGAAAGAAGAAATCCCCCAGACTAGCCGATTACTGTGCAGCAAGAGAGCTTTTACTGTCCATCTAGACTCATGCGTACTGTTTCAACTCGGCTGCGGATCTGGTGTGGGGCGGTGCAGAGAACTTCTGGTTGGCTGGTGATCCAACTTGTCAATAATAAAAAGGGGGATCCCCTTCTCTTTTGGTACGCTTCTTTTGGATCTTTAAGGAGTAGTTAGGTTCCTTTTGGTACACTTTATTCAGCAAAGCATCAATGGCTCTTGAACCTGCCTGCACACAGCCAATGTCACTTCTGGCATGCATTGGTGGTAAAGCAACAGGTTATTTGGACACTCATTCCCAATCTGATTCAGTAATTTTACCGAGTCAGCAGCGGCTTCGTCAGCAACCGACACAGAGAGAGGAGACGAAAGGGAGTGTTTGAAGATGGAGCAACAGAGGCGAAAAAGAACCATAATCTCATTCATCAAGCAGCATGAGCCCCTAGCAGGCAGAAAGAAGCACGCACTCGAAGCAGTGTTTCTATGACAGAATTCACTAATGCAAACAAGAGTTTGTTCTAGTAAATGCTATCAACTGCAAAACCAGGCAACCAACCTCTTCAAAATTGGGATAGAAAATGTTCAGGCCATTTGCTTCAGCTTTTTTAGTTATCTACCTTACTAGTTGGTTAGCTCCTAAGACAAGGGTCCTCAGAGTTTATGGCATCCATGAACCCTTCAGTTCCTTTTCCTCCCCTGCCTTCTCATCACTTCTCATTTCCAATCGTTGCGTACTCTGATTCAGCCGGTATCTAATGCCGACTGACACCTTGCTCTATACCACGACAACAGTTCATTCGGTGTGACACAACAAGATTGGCTCCTTTGTCTACGAGTCTTATTTGGACAGCTTGGTCATGATGCCTGCAATCCACCGTGGACTTTCTCGAGTCAGACTGCGCCGCCTTTTATGCAACCGGGATATTAGGTTCCCCCAAATTTACAAAGGCCTCTGCCCTAGCCATCCTTCCCATTGCTGTATTCCAGGATACGAGGTGGTCCATGAAGGCGTTGACATACCTTGCTCTCTCATTCTGTTGAACATAACCGTTGATCTTTAACGGAAACTATAACAAATTTGTGCGAAGAGATTGCCAAAAACAGAAAAAGGTAATAAGCATGAGAGTTACCTTGTAGTCCAAATAGTAAGCATGCTGCAAAAACAAAGTAGCATGCATATAGGGAAAAAGATGTTGTAAATGTGCAGTTGCCGAATTGGACATAGACAGACAAGGATTTCTTACCTCCCACACATCTAAATTGATTATAGGCTGGGAAAGCAAACAGAAAATGGAGAGCGATTTAGATCAGTGCACTCGTCAAGATGAGATATAGTTGATTAAAAATGTCAAGGGCAAGATTCGCTTACAATGTCATCCCAAACAAGTGGAGTGAAGGCATTTGATGTCTTTACTATAGCAAGATGTTTTTCTTCTCTCTTTACTACAACAAAGCATATATCACCAACTTCAGATAACACTAACAGACTAACACCATCCACTTTTCAAAGTTTTAAAAGCACTTACAGACAAGCCAAACCCAGCCAGAACCAAAAGATGTCAAGGCTGCTTCCACAAATTTCTCTCTGAAATTTGTGAAGGAACCAAAATCTTTTTCGATCTGATCGAGGAGACCAAGTTCAGGCATACCGCCGCCTCCTGGTTGCATGGATTCCCAAAAGAAGTCGTGATTCCAGACCTGAATCAAACGCCGGAAGAGAATTCAATAACATTGCATCACAGGACATGTAAACTACCAACACGTCTGCGCATTTTACTAGAACTTTTGAGGCCGCAATTTCAAAGGCGAAGAGCTTACAAACCTGAGCAGCATTGTTGAAAGCAGGTAGAGGGTTGCCACGGTTGTAGGTAACATTGATAAGTTCATCCATGGTGTAGCTGTACAGAACATCGTCTTTCGCCAGAGCTTTGTTCAGGTTCTCGAGATAACCACGATGATGACCTCCCCAGTGCAACTCCACCGTCTTCTTACTCATGTGTGGCTCTAACGCATCCTAACACCCCCACCAATTTGAACACCCAAAACCTCAATCAACTCTCATAAAAGGTTACATTCCGAGAGAGAAACAAGTAGTTTGATTCTTTCTCTATCCCACCAAGCATCACTCCAACATTTTTAACACAAAGTGATTAACTTTTATCCAAACTCTGAAGGTATATCAGCAAAAAAAAAAAATCATCTTTCAATCGAGGCGTAAAGATTAAAGAGAAGAAATAGGCAGAAAGTAAGAGTACGGGGGAGGAGCTTACAAGTTGGTAAGGAGGAGGCTTCAAGCCAAAATAGGCCACCACTCTGGAAGCTCTCCGGCGCGTATCAAACCGTGACGTCTGTTTCTTAGCCTGGAAATCGAAGTCCATCCATCCAGAAAACGAGAATTTCACCCCAAGGGTTAGATACTAGAACCGATAACGAAAAGAACTTTGCACGTTTGATGGAACCTGAACCAGAATCATAAAAAGGAAAACAAGCGAGAAAGAGCTAACCAGTGAAGGAAGCATAAAGGGAGGAGCTTTGAGATTCAAGTGGGGATGGCAGGCATCGTTTGCGACATGAATCTGAAGGTGGCAACTGGGTGCAAAAACATTGCAGCTACCCATCTCCGTCCTCCTTTCTTCTCTCTCGCTCTCTGTCTGCCAATCTATCCTGCGTCGCTGTTTGCGTTTTCTATTCTCTGTTCTTTGAGGTTTGAGCAGTGGGAACTGGGAAAATAGAACGGGAGGATTCAAAGGATATGGGCTTGTTTCTGGGCTCTAGTGAGCCCAAAGTAATTGAGAAACAAATGTAAGCTTTGAGTCTGCACTCTGCAGTCCACTAGAAAAAAGTTTCTCATTCATGGACGAAAGGCATAGGCATGGGCCGTACGAAGCAGTTCGCACTCCCCAGATCTTCGCAAAACAAAGCTTCATATGCTTTTGCACAAGACTGAGAGCTCTAGAACCAAGGTAGTGTGGTTGCTGATAACCTCGTCAATTAATCAAAATTTCAATCTCTAGTCATAAGAAGAGAGCTGTACTTCATTAAAAAGAAGTTCACAACTTTGTGCCTGGAACTATTACCGTCCTGGTATATGTACAACATGTAAACATAAACCTACATCAAAACGGAAGGTATGAAGGAGCTTTGTGAATCCTCCTCCAACCGGCTGATGAACATTGAAGAACCAGAAGACTCATGGTACAGCTTGCTGCAATTTTTAAGCCTTTCAAAGTAGGAGGTCTTGAGTCCATACTTTCTGGCGATATCGGATCGGACCAAATGCGGGCTATTGAATTTTGAACCCGAAACTACCACAGCCGTCTCCTCACCCACCAAGTTAACCACTGTCACCATCACTTCCGGTTCGATTGCTGTCGAGGCATCCACCAAGAAGATATGACTAAAATGTCCTTTGCCAATACCCTCGCTGTGCAGCCGGAAGCTCGTCACGTAAGTAGATACTATGACTCTATACCTCTGGAGCTCAACGAGTGGCGGGCACGTGAAACATTCCCCTTTGTATGCAGACTGGCTAAGGATCTCACTGGGGACCTCATCAATCTCCCTGAAAGCCGCATTGGCTCGAAACATATCTCTGTCCTTGATCTCCTCTTTCAAATGCTCCATCAGCACATCACAGGTTCTGTTAGCATGTGCACATACAAGAATCCGATGATCTGCACTGGTACGATACAGTTGGGCCACAGCCTCTTTCACTACTAATCCAGTCCTTGATAGTTGCTGCTTTGCAATTGTTCTTGATGTGTCAGGTTTCACGGCTAGCTGGCCCTCTACAAGGTATGGCGGAGGTCCTTGGAGGCTCAGGATCTGATCGACTGCAACCCTTTGTTGCTTGTCAAGTCTGTGATTGAAGATATGGGTAGATACTGAGGTAGCTATGCTTGTCCGGGTACTGGAGAGAGAATCCGGGAAAATGAAGCCTCTTAGCCATGAACGAGTGGAAGCAACTTCAATCGCCTGATGAAACCTCTTCAGGCAGACTCGGTTGAATGAGAAGCTAACATCGTACTTGGAAGTTGGTCGATGCTGAGAGAAGAAATCTTGGCCAAATTCAACTAAGATGGTGTTACTCCTCTCCACACGATAGATCAGCCCCTGATCACGTTTAGCAACAATCAGAAATCAATTTTAAAAGAAAGTATAGTAGTACTTGTTCAAGAGGCTGAACCTGAAATGTACAGCTGTTTGGTTCATTTGAGAGTTGGGTGAAGACAAAGTCTCTGGATAGAAGGAAGGGGCGCTTCTCAGGAACTGCATCAATCACAAATGACACGAAGGTCTTGCCAAGTGTCGGATTACGGGTGTAATTGGTCGACCGAGTCTTGTCATGTTTTGCATTACGCGTGTGATTAGTGGACCGAGTCTTGTCGTAAATTTCTGCTTGTTTCAGCTCCAACTCCACGTCGAACAACTCGAAGCCGTTCCATTTCTGATTCATACCAAGAGGAACACAAATACTAATTCGTTCTGTGGCTGTTAAGCTCGAAATTGTCCAAAAAACATAACGAATTATGATGAGTAGTGTACCTCGAGATAGTGGTCCTCTGCATACAGAAGAGCAGCAAAATAATCTCTGTAGGTGGAAGTGGATAGAGGCTTCCTCAGCAGTACTTGAGGCACCTTATCTTGCTTGATCAAACGCTCAACATCCTCTGGAATCTCATAAACTGCTTGTGACTTGCCTTTCTGGATCCATATGTAATTGGCTTGTGTCCCGCCACCAGTTGAACTTGCACTTGGGGGAACTGGACGCAGAGTTGGCTTCAACATCGGGGACTTCTCCGCCTTGGAGGGAAATGGAGATGCTTTAACAGAAGAAGATGTTTCTTCTGAAAACAGGAAAGCTGGAGATGGTTTAGAAATGGGAACTGCAGGAGGGTTAGAAGGTTTTGGATATCGTGCAGGCATTTCCTCGAGGGAAGGTGGCCACTGGATAACAAGGGGAGGGTCGCTGTCCAATGGTCGTAGACGCGGAGCTAGCTTCACAGTCGGGGAATCCGGGGCCTTGGAGGGAAACGGAGATGTTCTAAAAGAAGAAGAAGTTTCTTTTGGAAATAGGGAAGCCGGGGATGGTTTAGAAATGGGGACAGCAGGAAGCTTAGAAGGTAATGGATGTCGTGTAGGTGTTTCCTCATTCTTCTTCTAAGTTAGGGACTCCGCTGGCTTGGAGGGAAACTGAGATGCTCTAAAAGAAGAAGACGATGAACTGGGGATGTAGGGCGGGTAGAAATTACTAGTGGTGTTGTTCTTAACCCGATGAAGATGAGACCGGCTTGGTGACTCCCCTTCCAGACGGGAATAAGACCCACGATGATGATCATCATCTTCCTCGTGATCTGAAGTATAGCGATTGATAGCCCACCCAAGGCAGAATGAAGCAAGGATACCCCCGGCGAGCTTAATAACGAAACCAATCATGGTTCCTGGACTGGACTTCTGAATATCACAGTAATGGAGTATTCAGTTGGGCAGGAAGAGAAATCAATTGATCCTTCCCTTAACAAAGAAATCAAACTTCAAAAGCAAAACATACAAACTGATGAGTGAAGAAGAAAAGAGGAAGATGTTTTTTCACTCACTTTTTTACTGTGGAATCTTGAAATCTGAGAAAAGGGTCCGGCTGTTCAGAGACTACAGAGGAAATGAGTAGCTGGCCTGCACTAGTAAACGATGCAACAGCAAATGGGATGGTTTACTTTTGATTGATGTATTGTCCACCTTGACGAAGGTAGGTCAGAATATTTTAGTTGTTTATTGGGCAGAACTCTCTTCGTATTCTTCCACATTAAATAAGGATGAAGGAAAAAGTAGAAGAAATTAGAAATTGCAATAGCTGTCCTGCGGTAGCTTTTGCAGAAGCAGCTTCTGGCTTGAGCTTTTAGATAAGTACTTTAAAAAAACTCACTTGAGTGTTTGACTGTAAAACTATTAGAAGTGTTTTTTAATATGAGAGGTTGTGTAAAATGACTATAAAAAACTTATAATATAAAATATGAATGAAATTCTAAATAAAAAAAAGTAGTCAAAATGGATCTTGTTAGATTTCTTTTATATTAAATAATATGATTTTATAATTTATTTTATTTTTAAAATGATATAAATGAAGGAAAATTATATTTTCTGAAATAAAATTAAAATATGGTAAGGATAATCTTGTATTTTCAAAACAGCTTGAAGCTCCAAATCGGAACTTCTGCTTTTATGTTATACAAAAGCACTTTTCGGCTTTTCAAAAGTCGAACTTTTAGAGGTGTTTGGCTTTGCTTCAACTTTTGAAACCGAAAAACACTTCTAAAAGCCGGACCAAACATAGGTAATAATTAGCAAACATTATGACAAAAATTAGGAAGGAAATCAATAGAGTTATCAATTGAGTTACTCACCTTAATTATAGGATAACTCTGAGTCTCAACCGCTAACCTTTTGTATCTTTGCCAATAAACTATTCTATTTGGAAGCCTTGTCATTTAAGTAATCCCCAGTCACATAAATAATTAGCCCAGACCGAACCACTCCCCTTTCACTCTTGCCCTGTACTTGGAAAGTGCCACTCCGTTCCTGTTGCCAATAGTTTCAGAAAGGTTCTGTGGACCATGACACCACTGGTCCACTGCAGAGCTCCTGAAAACCTTCACTGTAGAGATTTGAAGTGAACTCTTCCACTGCAGCACAAACCTGTCTGGAATCTCATTACAATGACTCCCAGTTCCCCATGGCTTTACTTGCATCAGCAGCTAGCCTTGATTGACCTAGATCGAACTTCGTACCGAGGTCTTTCCAAGGTCCCTTCTCACGGCTAGCTGCTGAACCCCAATAAGATATGGTGGACTTCCTCTGAGGCCCAGGATCTGATGGACTGCGATAATTTGTTCCTTATAAAGTCTAGTCATATGGGTAGATAAGGTCGAGGTTCAACTTGTTGTCCGACTACATGAGAGGAAATGAGGAAATATGAAGCCTCTTAAACAAGAACGATTGGAACTTCAATTGCCTGGTGTAACCTCTTCAAGCAGACTCTGTTGAACGAGAAGCTAACATCATACCTGGAAGCTGGTCGATGCTGTGAGAAAAAATCTTGCACGAATTCAACGAAGATATTGTTACTCCTTCCTCAAAAATGTATTGTTGCTCTTCTCCACACTATTGATTAGACCCTGAAATTTTTGGCCACTTGATCCATTTGAAGGTCGTGTGAAGACAAAGTCTCTGGCTAGAAGGGAGGGAAGCTTCTTGGGAACTGCATCAACCTCAAATGATACGAAAACCTTGTTATGTTTGGTGTGGATGGAACCGATGGTGGACCTGGTCTTCTCATAAATTGATGCTTGTTTCAACTCCAACCCTACGTTTAACAACTTGAAATCACTCCATTTCTGAATCAAATGGAAGAGAGAAATTATTATAGAGAGCACATGCAAATGGAGAAATAAAAATAACAGTGATTCTAATAGCAATGAGTACGCAAAAGAAGAAAAAAAACTCAAATCAAGGGGCCGAAACAGTAGATGCTGTATTACTGGTTCACACTTCATTGGAGAATCTTGAAATCTGAGAGAAATGTCCCCCCCCCCCCCCCCCTATCAAGAAGAGTAAAGGACTAGCAGCAGACATCTAGTAGGAATACGGTAAAGCATCATAAAGTCTTTTAGCCTTTCGATATTACTGAACTTCCACTGCTAATGAACGAGTTTAAGCTCTAATCAGTGCAGTAATAAATCTACTTGGCAGAGCTCCTGGAAACCTTATATTTGTTTCGGATCAAGCCTCAGGAGTGCTAGCAGTGGTTCCCTCAATCCAACCAACTCTGGCCCACAGTCTTTTTGCTGTCCATCTCAGAGATTGCTCTGCTGATATTCGCTGCATCTTCCCAGTTACCACTCTCAGAATGAATCTTAAACCTCAAAGCATAAGTAGCATCATTCTCGGGAACCAAATGAATCAACTTTGCAGCTGCCCATTCTCCCAACTCCTTGTTCCCATATATCCTGCAACCACTCAGCAGAGATCTCAAGATAGCAGGCCATGGAGGAAACTGCATTGTTTCGATTATCCGCTTAGCATCTTCAAGGTGTCCATTTCGGGAAAACATGTCCACCAAGCAACCATAATTATTAGGAGAAGGTTCAAGATCATGTTCTGACATCATCGATTCAAACAAAAGGCACCCTTTGTCGACCAAACCCAAATGACCACATGCTGATATGATCGACACAAACGTAGCTTGGTTGGGCTTAACTTCCTTCATCTTCTCAAACATATCTAGAGCTTCTAAGCCTAGACCGTGATGGGCATAACCCATGATCATAGCATTGTAGAGCACGACATCATGAAATCTTGATGATTGGTCAAAAACAGTTCTTGCACTTTTGATGTCTCCATATTTTGCATATGCATCTAGCATTGCACTAGCCACAAAGTTGTCTTCATCATAACCTAATTTGGTGACAAAAGCATGGGCAGCATTGATCCTAGAATAAGGGCCGCTACTACCACAACTGCCTAGAATACTACCCAGAATAAACTCATCAGGTTTCCTACCAGAGTCTAATAGAGATTTGAAAAATCTGATGGCTTCTTGTTCATGGCCTTGATTTAACAATGCTGATATCATGGTTCCCCAAGCAGCTAAATCGATTCTTCTGTCACTCCCGTCAAAAAATTTGGAAGAATCATGAAACAGATCCAATTTAGCATAGCCTTTAATCAGAGAACTACAACAGTGTCCATGAGAATCAAATCCAGATTTGATCACAGCTCCATGGATCTGTTGAACTATTTTCTGGCAGCCATATTTGCAGCAGGTTTCCAGAATGAGTGAATAGGTGTATTCATCAGCTTGGACCCTTACCAGTACCAAGTTACGGAATGTTTGCAGAGCTTCCATGACATGATTGTTCAAGTTATGGCCAGAGATTAACTCATTCCAAATAATTATATCTTTGCAAGAGCTGCCGTCAGCCACAAGATTTGCCACTTGCATCGAGCCACACCTAGAGAACATATTGACAAGAGAAGAGATTACGACTGCTTCATCACAGAATCCAAAGTGGACTGCAAGAGAACAAAACTGAAGACCAAGATTCACATCCACTAGCTCCCCGCATTGCCTAAATAATAACGAAAATGTAATATGATTGGGACTTATGCTACTCAACATAAAATTGTGGAAGAAGTTTGCCAGTTTCTTAGAATCCTTGTAATGAGCAAGGCAACTGAATGCAGTATTCCAAGTTATAATATCCCTATCAAGCATCTTACCGAAAACTTTCATGGCACAATCTACCCTGCCATTCTTTGTGTACATGTCCATAAGAGCGTTCATTACTGATGTACAATAATCTTCTTCCGTTCTGAGAATCAGTCCATGAATCTGCCTCCCAAAATGCAAATCTGGCTCCACTGAGCTTCCTTGAAGAGAACTAACGAAGGTGTATTTGTCAAACTTTAGTCCTTGACATCGCATTGATGATGCTATGCTCAGCGCTTCACTGCCAAGCCCCAATTGGGCATACCCACCGAGGATAGCATTCCAACAACCGACATCTACTTTGTCCATAGACATGAAAACTCTATCTGCAGCTTTGATATCCTCCATTTTACAATAGAAACTCAAAGTTGAGCTGCCGACGTATGGATTCGTTTCCAACCCAATTTTCAGCGCCCAACAATGAATAGATAAACCAAAGCCTCCAGCTTCCATAGAAACACACCCCTTCATAACACTACCAAGAACAAACTCATTTGGCATCAGACCAGTTCTTGCCATATCCAAGTACGTCTCTAACCCCAACTCAGGTTCGCAACTCTGAACAGCACCAGATATGAGCAAAGCCCAAGAAACAATATTTCTGTGAGGCATGTCATCAAACACCTTACATCCATCAGGCAGACGGTCACGTTTTGAGTACATCCTGATCAGATTGTTTTGGGTGAAAACATCGTTACTCAAACCAAGCTTGACAACATAACCATGGATTTGGGTCCCCAGAGTTGATGATCTAGAGTTCACAGAGAAGGACAGGGCTTCGGCTATGGCAGTAGAGTCTCGCGCCACAAACAAACTGGAGCAGGGAGAAGGCTGGAGAAACGTGCAGAGATGGTGTTGATGCTTGATATTAATAAAAGAGAGGCCTGGTTTCTCAGTAGATAAAACTAAAGTTCTAAACTTTGAAATCACACTGTTCCCAAGCATCTCACGATTCTGGTTGTGGAGCAAAGCTTTCAGCATGACTTCTTTTGGGAATCCATGCTATAATTAGCAACATGGGTTTTGCAAAAATAAGCTACCAGTCTTACCACTCTGGAAGCTCTCCGCCGGCACCTGTCGAACTGCGACTTCTGCTTCTTGGTCTGAGAACCCCTAGCCATCCGTACACACCCAACAATTACACCGGCCGGATTTCAATTTCGAACCTGAGGCAGAAGCAAAGAGGGAAGCAAGAAAGAAAGAACTAACCAGAGACAGAAGCATGCTTTGAGATTGAAGTGGCGCCGCCAGTAGTCTTTCCTCTGTTCCTCCGGCGAGTCCCAGGGTGGCCGGTGGGATTTCGCAATAGGTGGATTCAAAGAAAGAAAGGAAGTATTCCGGCCTCTTGGGCTCATTAGGCCCAAAATACATAAGAAGCCTAAAGAATGAATCTTGGATCTCTAGCCCACTTCTTCCTTTATCCTCATCTCAAGTTTCTGTCCGGCTTGTCGAGAATTATGGTATATAATAATGAATATAATAGATGAATTGAAATGCATGAAATGATTAATTTCTACCTTAGTTATGCACATAACATTTTTGAAAGTGATCCAACTATGCATAATGTGTTTAGACCTAAAAAAAAACAGAAAAAAATATAATATATGCATTACATATAACTAATGAATGAAAAAATATATAACTAATTGTCATTTGTTACTTAATTAAATCATATAGTTGAATATTAGAGTTGCTTCTCATAATACATATATAATCAACCTTAAGGATGAAAGAAAATGTCTCATAGGGTTTAGGATGTCCTTTAAGTTTTTCCCAATAGAGGGCATTTTTTTTACCACACTGTTGGTAATGAATCTGAAGTTGCTTGATTTGAAATATATAGGACATGATGCTAAGTTGTTGCTAATAGTTAGTTGGACAATGTGTTGTGTACGGACTTACCAAATTATTTACAGATCGCAGACATATCTAACAACAATGTAGTAATTTCCATGTAGCAAATTTTTTTTCACGAAATAATTCAATAAATAAAAACATATGAAAATAATACTACATGAAATATATGTTACTCATTAAGTTGATGAATAAGCGAGGGTATAAGTAGCATACATTTATTTCAAAAAGATAGAAGTTGCAAAGTGTCTTTTAGCTTGCATGAGATCGCATATTCTCATTATCGCTAACTGACTTATATTTTTTTTCAATAAGATAGTTCAAAATGTGCCTTAAAACTTTTGTTTCCACCAGTGTAAAAGAATTGTTTGAACCAAATGATTGTAAAATCGTATCGAACAAGTTGGTAGTAGAGTATTTTATCCTGAAGTCATAATTAAAATGTGGTTCAACCATTTCATATTGCTAAATATCACCTATCGATTTAGCCTATGATGTGAAGTCTTATGGTCTAACCGGCGGTACGTACCATCTTTCAATACAAACGTTAAATAAAAAATCACTAAAATATTGACATTATCAAATACCTCTTAAATCTCAGAAATTACAATAATCGAGGAAAAAATCTTCCAAATGATAATATCGATTTAGAATTTTAAATTGAAATAGAAAAAATATTTCAAATATAATGTCATCTCCTAAAATAAATAAAAACTCAAAAGAATAGGGCCAAGAATATCCACTAATCAAAGCATAAGGACAATTATTTCACACTACCTCATTTTCCTTGTCTTTTTAAATGTGTTCTCTCACTTTCTCTTTGCCTTCCTTTTGTTTTTACATTTGTTCTTCCATCTTTCTCTCTCAGCTTTGTATCTCATTAATGTACCCTTATTTTTTGTCAAAAAAAAATGTACCCTTATTCCCTTCCTCTTTCTTTCCCCCGGTTGGAATCGAGAAAAACCTAAAAATATCTCAATTACTTCTCCAATTTTGCGTTCGAAATGTTTCTTCTCCATTCACAATTGATAGTGTGAATTAGAGCACCTAAATCTGGCGAACAGATGGTCGCTTATTCAACGACGGAGCAAAGTAGCTTGATAGCTTGTGAATAAACTAATTATTAAAGTGTTAAAAAGTAGAACTCGTTAAACTAATCGAGTGAGTGTATAGTTAGTTCATCTCTTAAAGCCTTAAACCATTGTATTTATCAAAAGAATCAAAATACATAATCACTTAATCAGATTCAACGGGAAAAAATGCATAATCAGATTCATCTTCACTTTACATGTATTTGTCGTACAAATTCATTACACATAAAAATGGTTTTGAACTGATGTCATATCAAACTAAATCGCATCTTATGATTATTAGATCCATTTCAGATTAGCAAAAGGTCTAAGGCTATTGGTCTACTGGGCTGAAAATTAATACTAATTTAATAATTATATTTCGCTTCCAAAATGATCAATGCTGCTATTTAATATGCAATATTCAATATTCAAACAAATGATATATGAGTTTCAACCCTTTCTCAAATTTTGTAGACAAAGAAAAATCCCCCCCCCCACTCACACGCATTTGCAAAGAAATACTAAATCCCAATTTCTTTTTCACTTTACTTGCTTCTAAAGTTATTGTTGACGTTGTTTGTTATCACTGCAAGCTGTAAAAAAGACTTTTCAGCTATGAAGATAATCAAGAATGATTTTATAAATGAATTTTTAGTTGTATACATTGAAAAAGGTTTGAGTCTAAAAAAAACAATGAATGTATTTTATAAACCTTTTAGAATATGAGCAGTCACACGTTGATGTGAGAAACTACTCATTAATTCAAATTTTATGTGTTATTTTTCGAATATTTTAATTTTATCAAATGGCGCATTTCTTCATAAACATGAGTTCACCAATATAGAATGTGTGGTGCTCGTACTTGTGCGCGTGCCCTTGAAATTTAAGTCTAGTACAACCCATGAAGCATTCATGCTTGTACATGGCCGATCCATATACATTGTCTTCATGGTATGCTCTAACTGTGTTGTGCTAGCTCGACAATGTGTCTGGGTATAGTTATATACAGTATAATAATTAAGTTTCTACTTATTCACAACACCAAGATAAAAATTGTCATAAATGCACCCAACATTCGATTTTGACTACCTGATGAAATACTACATTTGAATAAACTATAACTGATGTCACAAATAATAATTATACCTCTAAATCATACATAAAATATTTCAAACGTCACAAATATTAAGATGAAATCAATTATTATAAAGAGTAAAAATTGTATAATGAGCTTAATTATAATTTATTTATATGTTAATGCACTATAAATTGATGAACACATCCGATCCAAAACTGACGAAATGAACATCACATTAAACTCGATATCATCTCATTATTGTCAGGTCCATTCATGCTCGATTAGCAAGAGTTTAATGTTTAGCAGCTAACCAGACTAAAATTTTAGAGAACCAGCCATATATAGTTTATAAAAAAATATTATTGTTTCGTATTAGTTCTAACAATTTATATTAATTTAAAAAATTTACATTGCTTTTGCATATTCAATACTGCAGTTCGATATGCAATATTTCAAGCAATGAAATTTGTGTCGCAATTTTAAGATTCCCCGTCATTTTATAGGTTATAAAAATTATAAAATTACGTATTAAACTTTGCTTTTCAAAATATTTAATAGGCTAGCTAACCGTGAAAAGTCCTATGCTTTCAAATCTTCGCTTAGTGCATGTTTACAATTTAAGAAGATAAAACAAATTTGTTTAGTGTAATTGGTTGTGATTATTGTTTTTGTTTGAAGAGACCATGGTTCAAATCTTGATATTGATACTTTTTCATATGAAGTGGATAATAATTGTGATGACAAAAATACTCTTCCTACTTTCACTATCGCTTCACGAAATTTGAAATAGAAAATCTTAAACCATTGAATATATCTTATAGAAAGAGATTCTTCAACCAAGTAGGAAATATATTTTACCTGAAATTATTATATCTTATAGAAAGTGATTAATTGTGAAATCGGAAGACATGTAACATTGATTCAAACATTAAATAATAAATTGTGTGTGGTTCAATTTAGACAAAATACATATGTATAGCCAAAACATGGATCTTTGTAACAAATATAGTAATGTTTTGTCATAAAGATAAATTGGGCACTATGACGAATTAGAGCTTTCTAGAATCACTCTCAGGCCACGAAATTAGAAATGAGACTGTCATTTTCCAATTTATCATTATATTATGTGTAGATTTGTCCAAAAAAAAGATTATACTCGTGACAAATGTCCATGTTTTGGCTACACTTCTGTATTTTGTCTAAACTAAACAACACATACAATTTAATATTAATGTCTGAATCAATACTACTCGAGTTCCGATTTCAGAACTAATCTCTTTCTATAAAATATAAATAACTTAAGATAAAATATAAATATAAAAGCATCATCACCAAACATATTCCAAGAGTTTAATCAAATAAATAACAAATAAATAAAATGTTTTGGCCTAGTTGGTTACAATTCTCTTTTTTCATTTAAGTGACCAAGGTTCAAATTCTAATGATAACACTTTTAATATATAGGGTTAATATATTTGTATGACCTGAACATTTCATATAATAAACATCCTGGCCAATATTTTCGATCTATAACATCATGGCCTGAACTACACACCAAAGTAACGAAATTGGCCAAACCCGAAAATTGACCGTTATCTTGGACGGTCAAACGCGTTGACTAACGGTCAACGTGCCACGTTACCGCCAAATAAACACCTTTCACTTCTTAAGGGCTAATACCACTACAACACCTGAACTATGACAAAATCCCACTTGTGTCCTATTCTTTCAAATATTCCTTTTGTGTCCTGAACTATTTTTCCGTTAGAGTTGACAGGCGTTGATCGTTAGTTTTTAACAGAAATTATAGTTAGCGTTGATGTGGCAGATGACATGGAATTTTAAATTCAATATTAATTTAATAACACTAAAAAAACAAGACTCTGGGCCACTTCTGACCTCACCCTCCTCCCACATTCTCTCTCCCTCCCTGCTCACCTCCGCCTCCTAACTCGCCAACTCCGCGAAGTCGCCACCATCTCCCAGTACTCCGCTCTCCTCTTCGAACCCAAAAATGTGGCGGGTTTCCATCCGGTTCCCTCGCCACCGCGCGCTCCAATCACCCCTCTCATTGGACAAAAACCTCTGCCTCATTCGACAAAAAAACCCCTGCCTCCACCACTACTCTGAATCGAAACTTCCATGGTCGATTTCAGTGGAGCTCTAAATCGACATGCCATGGCCCTAGCTTCCCCCATCAAAATCCGTCTCTCTTCCACCCTTCACCCATCGATTGATAACTTGAGCATGCCCGATGTTGGGTCGGCGGGCTAGAGCAATTTGTAGGGTC